AGTTTCATCGTCGATCTCTGTCATGAGGCTTAACGTTTCCTTCGTGTTTCTTCTTTTATTTTGCCCTTTCGCAATTCCATCTTTCTTTCTTCTCAATCGTCGACCGATATGATTCTGGACGTTTCGTTTCGCGCGTTGATAGCTTCGAAAGGAACATCCAGCTACGCATTTCCTACTTTATTTCTTTTTTTTTCTTTCTCTCTCTTTTTTTTTCTTCTTCTCTCTCGCTCTCTTTTTTTTTTTTTTTTTTTTTCAACCACTGACAACCCTTCCGAACTGATTGAGTGTGACGAATAGTCGACTAGCTGGTAGTTGGACTCGCTTTTCCACACGAGCTGCCGTATTTACATTCGAAATGCTTCGACAGGGCGCACCAATTTAATCGGTCGTACGTCCTCACTGGTTTTTCCGTTAACATGAGTGTAGATGGGATGATGGTGGGGATAGTGGATGTTCAGGGAAACTGCTTTTCTAACCCCTTTTCTACCCCTTTTCTAGTGGCCGCTGTTGCTACTGCTACTCCTATTACCGCTCGCTCCATACTATGATTCGTCGTTCCATTTTGACGGAGAAATGTCTTGTTTCTTTTTTTTTCTCCTCTTTCTTTCTTTCGCTCCTCTTTTTACTTTTTGTTATTTTGCTTTTTCTATTTTGTTTGTTTCATTTTTTCTCCTTTTTCTTTCATTTTTTCTTTTTTTTTTTTTTTACAAAAGAATTGCGTAAACAACCGACATACGCGATCTTTCCGCATCCATGAAAGCTTATTGTTACGACTAGTTGCTCAAAATTTTCATTCGTTTGTCTTTGCATGGAACTAAAGTAAATTGGTGAATCGTAATATCTGATAGAAGAGGAATATAATTGTTCTTTTTTCTTTTGGCTTTTTGCTTTTCTTTTTTTCTTTTTCTTTTTCTTCTTATCAATCATAGTTGATATGAGTTATCTGAAATAGTTTCATTGTTATAAGTAAAGTGTGATAAACGGGAACAATGAAATAATTAATTATAATGAAATAACAGATAGCAGATGTGACTCTTGAAAATATGAGAACAATAAGAGCCCATAGAAACAAAATAACGATGATCGAACTTTTCGACGGAGAATTATTCGAGTATTCGAATATTCGAAAAAAAAAAAAAAAGAAAAAAAGTAAAGCAAAAAAAGAAATGTTGAAATTTTATTGCACTTCAGCCCCCATCAGAAAATGTCTATTTTCTTTAATGGGTAAACGTCAAGCTGGTTTTTGCAATTAGCACGGATAACATCGGTTCAATTATAAAAAACGAACATTCACCGCTCATTAGAAACCGAAAGTACGGTTGATACTTTTTAGCCGAAGCTTTTTGTACTTTAGTCTCTCTCTCTCTCTCTCTCTCTCTCTCTCTCTTTTGCCCTTTATCTTAGTATTTTTTTTAATTTAATTTTTTTATTTTATATAGGTCAACCAAGATCATTTTCTATCTGACCTTATTACTCGCTATATACGATCAAATAGGTTGCTTCTTAATAAAAGTTAAAAGGAACTTTAGTAAAGTATAGAGTTGCTCTATGGAAGCTCTTTTCTCGAATTAGAAGCGTTACGCTGATCAGCTTGGGCACCACTCGAGACTCTACGGTTCTTGGCTGGTAGCCAAATTTCTCGATCGTAACTCTTTCCTCACGAACTGGTAATAACGCGTCTAGTCTTCGACCCTATTACATTATAGCATTATTCAAATCTTTGAAGGAAAATTGCTAGTTCCACAATTTTCACAATTCGCTTCATTTTTTCATGATTACAGTTTGAATTCGATATTTTCTTTTTCTTCATTTCTCTCTCTCTCTCTCTCTCTCTCTCTCTTTATTATTATTATTATCTATAAGTTTTTCACACTTTTGAACTGAGTTTTCATTTATAAAATTTATTGCATATCCGATATTATTTTAATTAGATTAAATGTACGAAAATTCCTTTTACTCGATCAAAGATTATTTTTCTTTTTCTTTTTTTTTTTTCTTTTTTTTTTTTTCTTTTTTCTTTTCTTCGTTTCACTCTTTATGTTATTATTATTAGCGGGAGCATGGGGGTCAAAGTTCGTACAAGAAGATCTCGCAGGAGAGATAAAACGAACGTCATTAATATGCTTTTATGATACCATCAGATCGAACCTGCGCAAAGCACCATTAGAAATACATCGATCTATGCATCGATGGAATATGCGAATTGCTAATACCGATAATACACCGCTTATATCGAGGCAAAATAATTACCCAATGGTAAACCTTGCTTGTAAAATGTATAATTAGTAATACTGAAACGAACGTTCTTCGACAGCCCGTAGGTGGTAAATTAAAGTTAAATGAAATCTAATACTCGCTCTCGCAAAATGGTCTCTCTCTTTTTCTCTCTTTCTCTCTCTCTCTCTCTCTCTCTCCCTCTGTGTGTGAATATTTTAGAATATCAACGATAGCGAATTTTCGTATTCGTTAGTTCAATAGCGTTCGTTAGCTCGATAGTCTGTCGAATAACTTTTCTTCCTTTCTCGAAGGCAATTTGACGAGATCGAACGTTATCGAAACTCGAAATTATAAGAATGATACGATTGGATGAAAAGAAAAATATTTTTTCTTCTTTTTTGTTTTTTTTTCTAAATATTTTATAACGTACAATGTACGTATATTTTTATAAAAAATACAATAGTATCAACCTTTAAATTGATCTAATAATATTTTCTTCCCTTTTTGTTTTTCTAACTTTTCCTTTTAAGAAGATGATTTCAAATTAATGAAGCTTAAATGATATAAATATTAAAATTCGGTATTCTATTTTGTAATTCCCAATATTTTCGTTTTACCCCAAATCTAAAGCTCATATTACGTCCGGTAGTTTCCTTATTCGTTAATAGTTTACGTTCATGTTCGCGAATGCAGAAATCAAGTATATGTACATACATAATGCGATATACGGTGTACACTTACCGGTGGTACGGCCGCAAATGTGAGGGAAGTTTTAATCCTCGTGTACACCTAGAGTAAGTAATAAGCTAGAAAGGATTTTGGCATGCGTAGGAATTATTTATCATCAAGGGATTAAGATTTCTCTCGTTGGTTATTAAAAGCGAATGGTAAAACAACATGAGTCGACATATACCTATTCATTAACCATCGGAAAATATTAAGTCGATTTTAAAATCGTCTTATGTCATGATAATATATATATATATATATATAAATAAAATAAAAAATAGAATACGCATAATAAAACATATATTTAATCGTTCTATCGTTCTATAGTTATTTACCGTTCGCAATAAATTCATATTAAAGATAGATTCATACCAAGTGAATCTCGTAAAAATGTAAGAGTACTCCTACGGTTATCTTCTCGGTCCGCTTCAGGAACGATTGACGAAGAAAACGAAAGAAAGGAAAAAAGGATGATATAAAAGAGGGGACAAAGAAAAGGAAGGATGGAGAAGAAAAAAAGAAAAAGGAAAAAGTGAAATACGGAAGGATTTAAATTCAACGGGCGACGAACGCTAAACGCATCCGATGATAGGATTGAGTATTTAATTAGGACGGCTTCGAAGAGAAAGATAATTGAATTCTATAGTTCTCGTGTCCTCGGGACAGTCGGTGAATCCCATTCGTTTTCTCTCTCGTTCGCTCCCTCACATATACATGCACACATACACACACACACACATATATATACACATACACACAGATACAACCAGAGCCAATCTCTTAATTTTCCGCCTTGCCGGGCAATATGCGAACGCATCCATTCGCGAGTTGTACATGCCGCTCGGTTAACTCTTCTCACTCACCTCTCTCTCTCTCTCTTTCTCCCTCTCTCTCTCCCTCTCTCTCTCTCTCTTTCTCTCTTTCTCTCTTTCTTTCACTCATTCTTTGTCAGGACCATCGGTGCTGTCTTTTTCACCTTGAGATTTTTTCTCTTTCTACATCCCTGCGTCATCTTTTTTCTCTACCATCTTAATAGCACCCAACGTCGGGATACTTCGAATAAAATAGACGGGGAATGTGAAATCGCTGCCGAACAGGTATATATCCATAAGTCCTACGTATTGGAAAACGATTCAAGATTCAAGATGAAAACCGTCTTGCTAGCGTCCTCTTCGTCGAAGTCACCTGCAGCTTCAGGAAAAGACCGATGGAAAAATATCATTGGGACCAAGACGATATTCGGCAGTAGTCGAAGCAAAAAGTCTACAGAAGGGTTCTACCGATTTTCTACTTTCCTTTCTATCTCTCTGTCTCATTCCAATTCTTTCTCTCTCTCTCTCTCTTTTTTATCTATCTCTCTCTCTCTCTCTCTCTCTCTTACTCCCTCTCTCATTCACTCAATCCATGTCTTTTCATCATTTTTTTCTATATTTTTACAGTAAGCTCCTTTCACAGAACAGAGATTCCGTACAATGGGTAATACATTTTTTAATTTTATTTTCATCATCAATTTTTTCTCCTTTTCAAGGTATACAAACCTACTTTTGTTATAATCATATCACATCTCTCTCTCTCTCTCTCTCTATCTCTCTTTCTTGTTTCTATCAGACGTATAAGAATTATATTTCATTGATTTTTATGGTAATGTGAACATGTTCGTTTCTGAACATGAACGACATAATAAAAGATCGACCATATATAGAAAGACAGAAACGAACAAAGTGATACTTTTCAATTCATTTTTATTCAATTTTCTTTTCAACCGAATGAACGAGAGAGAGAGAGACAGAGAGAGAGAGAGACAGAGAGAGAGAAAGAGAGAGAGACAGAGAGAGAGAAAGGGAGAGAAAGAGATAGAGAACAAGTTCTATGTCACTGCATTTCAAATGTGCTAATTATCTATCTGAAAACATCTGACCGTGACTGTTTGACGAAAAGATTAATTCGGAGTTATTTCATCAGCGTGACTGTAAAGTAAAAGAGGAGTGGATAATCTTGAATGAAGGGGTTTCGTGAGAGAAGTTTGGTTGGTAGTTGCTGAAAAGAGGGCGTTATTGACGTATTAATGGGCGTACAGTTGTGGGTGGACGATCATGGATGGCAGGTAATAGTTGGACAGTAATGAGTGGGCTGTAATAATTGGACGATGATGGATAGGTGGTGATAGTTGGGCGATAATAGTTGGGTGGTGATAATTGAATGGTTACAGTTGGACGATAATAGTTGGTAGGTTATTTTTCGACGGTGGTAAGTGTGCAGCGATAATTGAGCGGCTATAGTTGGGCAGTAATAGTTGAATTGTTATAATTGAATGGTCACAGTTGGACCGTCATAAGTGGATGGTAATAGATGGACAATTCTAGTTGGGTGTGGTAAATGGACGATGATAGTTGAGCTGTGATGGACGGGTGGTAATAGTGAGACAGTTATGGGTGGGTGGTGATAGTTGGGTGGTGGTGGGTAGGCTTCGAAAGGTGGGTAGCAATGGATGGGATGTGTTGGATGGAATTTGGGTGACTGGGTGGCAATAAATGGGTGGTGATGGGTTGGAAGTGTTGGGCTCGAATGAGAAGAGTGGATGGGAATGAGGGTATTGGGTGAGATATTGGGTTGGTGGTTGTTGGCTAGTTGTGGGGGTGTTAGGTCGAGGTATTGGGTGGAGTGTGGTGGCTCTAGTAAATGACACACAGATAGATGACTGTATATAGTATCACGAATGTAGCGCGAATGACTGCTTCGATAGATTTCATTTCACGCTTTCGAAAATAATTTATAGCCATTGACTTCTCCGTTGTTTTGTTCATAACACGTAGGTACAGCTTTTGAATTTATACGGCGACGTGTACGAATGCAACGAGGACGGAATGAATTTGGAAAAACAAAAAAGAAAGCGCAAAAAAAAAAAAGGAAAAAAACAAAAAAAAAACTTATTGTCTGACAATAAAACACAAGCGCGCGCTACATTTCATGGTCAACACAAGCAACGAAACCTGAGTTTATTTGTCAGAAACATAACGAGTGGACGCGGTTCCCTCCAGGCTTTCGCGTTTAAATTTACGTGCCGATCGATTGTTCGGCTACCATTCTTTCGAAAACATCGGAAGCAAAACAAAATACAGAGAAAGACTCAAATAGTAATAGTCGTAGTATTAACTCCCAAGTGAATCGTACAAGCGCAGCTGATAGCGCCACGAAGTAATTGCTTCGGTTGAACGAAAACAATAATGGAATAGTTTCCACAGTTATCTCACGGATGATTGCATTAAATAGTCATTAGGTATTTATTTTTTTTTTGTTTTGTTTTTTTCGTTTTTCGTTTTACCTTGTCAACGAAAGTAATCTCTCATCGAGTGCATTCTCTATTCTCTATTTGCGTAAATAAAGCATCGTTCGTCTTCGTTAAATCTTCGTCCACGCGGATACCGTCACTTTGGTTTCATAAACTCCCACATAAACTTCGGAGAAAGCTTTTTGATGTTTACGAAAACAAAGTTAAAACCTGGGGAGAACGAAACAGAGTGGACACACAGAGATAACATAAAAACGTTACCCCATCGTATTTCGAAATGGCCAAGCCGTATTTCTGATATATAGGTTTATGTAAAACAAAATGTGTGACCGGCTAAGGTAACTGCCTCCTCAGGACAAAGCCAACGCACATCGGATCTTCCTGTTGCATATTTATGACGTTTTTATAAGACCGGGACCGTCGAGAAAACTAAAACGTTTCTAAGTGTTCTCCTATTTTATGAGAATCTTAGATCCTTCACGCCATTTTAAACGTCCATCAAGAGTCACGCTAAAACTAACTGCAATATTATCAATACGATAACTTATTATCTTGTATCAAACTATAACAACCATTAAGAAATCATAGTTGCTAATTTATTCTATGAAATAATTTGCATACGTTAAAACATTATTACAATATTTACGATATAATTTTACAATAATCAAAAATATATTTTAAATGATCAAAATATTAATCAGTAATTAATAAGCTATTTAATATATCAAGAAAGGATATCAATTGGATAATTTAAAAATTAATTAATGAAAATTCAAGTTAGATCACTCTACTGATCTCTTCCTAAGTTGTTCCTAACATGGCACGCGGTTCTCGTTTACCCGATTGCTCCATGGTTCCCTTGATCGACCATAGACATACATACCACTGGTTCGGTTTAACTTGGAAACTTCGGGTCTGAACCTTGCGGGTTCCTTTTGTCTTAGAAACTCTCACGAAGAGAAGTTTCGACGGTACAAGAGGTATGTCAGCGACGTGGTAACCAGATGAGGACCAAAAGGAACGAAGAAAGAGAATGAGAAATATATATATATATATAGAGAGAGAGGGATGAACGGAGGGGGAGAAGGTAGAAGAAAGGGTTGAGGATATAAGCAGAGCAGTTAAATTATAAAGTAATGTCATAGTGTATTAATTTTTCACGATGTCTCTCTATTTCAATCTTGTATTCCATTCTTATTATTTTCCCAAGTTATTGTCACTCAAGAAGAATAAGAGAAAAAAAAAATGAAAAAAAAAAAAAAGATAAGATAGAGAAAAAAATAAGATAGTTTCACGTAAGAACGAATCCAGTCGAGAGACCGGACAAGTATAAGATAAGGATCGGCCTCGGCGAAGGTCGATGATAGGAAAGGATGGATAGAAGTGGCGCTTGTTATCCCTGGAAAAGTCAATCATCCCGAGCGTCCGAACGGACGATACGTGACCGGTTTTTCGTGTTACTCGATGAGGTCATCGACTTTTCTATCAAACTTGTCCTTGTTCAAAAAGGATCAAATATAAATAGATAAAAATATATTTAAATACATACATATATATATATATATATCTTATAATAAATAAGACATTATAAAAACATCTATAATAAGATCAGTTAAAGACAAGGCTATAGATATACGTAAAGACTTAATATAGACCAGTAGACGAGTCGATTCGAGTTTCGAGTTTCTTCATCGTGCCGGCCATATTAGCCTGAAGGCACGCGAATGCGAGTCACGTTGATGCGAGGGTGCAATTCGTCGTTCGGTTCTCGTCGTGCTTGCCCTGTCACCCGAATAGACCGAGTGTATATTCGAGAGACGTTAAGGTAGGATATGTGGAGAAAAGAAAAGCGAGAGAAAGAGAGGAGTCGATAGAAAAACTGAAAAGAAAAAGAAAAAAAGAAAATGAAAAAGAAGAAGAAGAAGAAGAAGAAGAAGGAAAAAAACACGTAGAAATGGAATAGAAAGAGGAGGAGTAGAAAAAGGAAAGAGGATGTGTTGTAGAGAAGGTAAATGGGAATGGGCCCGTGAAATGTCCTAGCCGTTCCTGGCCCGAGGGAAAGATCTCTGTATTCCCGGCAGGAACCCGAACACTCGATAGTGTGCTTTAGAAAAATTCGTGACAGAACTGCTAAACCAAGCCGCGCACAATTTACGTTATTAAATCGGCGGAACGGCTCGAAGCACCGGACGAGCGCCACCTATTCGACTCTATTCCGCGTTTAAGTTCTCCTTTTGAGCTTCTACCCTAACTGTTATATATACATACATATATATATATATATATATGTGTGTGTGTATGTGTGTATATATGTATATATGTATGTATGTAAGTATATAATATATCCTATACCATTTTCTCGCACCTTCAGAAAAGAGAGAGAGAGAGAGAAACCCCTCGTCTTTTATAGACCGACGAACCACTCACGCCTTTCACGTACCACTCCGATAGGATTCTCCCGAATTCAAACTCGTACGTGTACCCGATGTAATCGCGCGTACCAACCGTAGTCCGGCAAGAATTTCAAATTATTTCTCTTGGCTATCACGGACCGAAGAACTTCTAAGATTGTTATGGTTATACCAAATGACTAGCTAGAACTTACCCTCGTAGTTGTCAAACTTCCAAGAAAATCAGTAATACTATTCTGATACGTTTTATCAACGATCGTTCCTTTTTTTTTTTTATTGTTTTTTATAATCTCGGACTCGATGAAATCTATAGATTTTTAATTTCAAAAGATAAAATCATAAAAAGGAATATTGTGTGAATCTTAAAATTATATTTCATTTTTATTATTATTATATATATATATATATTATTTTTATAAACTGTAGAGAGAGAAAGAGAGAGAATTTTCTCAGAAAAAAAAATTCTAGAAAAGAAGCATAATCTTCTGTTGTGTATTTTCTTAGAAAATCGACTTTATAGGGAAATTACGTCGTTTCACGAACGTTACTGAAGTTTCTAGACTGTCGTCATAAAGGGCCATTTTCCTTCCTCGCAAATATCTGATATAATTGCCGGATAGGTACTCGAAGAAACGTTAGGATCGCAACGTAAACCCAGTTCCTTTTGTCGACTTTACATTTGCCCGAAGGACTGCCTCTTCAAAGCCCATAAAAGATAATTAACAAAACTTGCATGACAGTAATTTACCATAATCGTTAACTTTTATATTTTGTTAAAGCTTTTTTTTCTCTTTTTTCTTCTTTTCTTCCTTTCTTTTTTTTCTAATTTTTTTTTTTTTTTTAATAATCAACACTTCGACGAAGAAAATATCAACCTTACATTTGCGAATACACCGACGACTATTTACCTATATATATATATATATATATATATATATATATATATAAGCGTTAAAATAAAATCAAGTGAGTTTTGATATAGTATTTTCGAAAATGGAGTTTCAACTAGTATAAACACATTCATTGTAGGATGGATTATTTGACACAATTGATGAGCTAAACACGTTCCCATGAATTCCACTAATTGCCGCCACAATTGGCGGAAATCCAACATGTATAGCCTATCGAAGCGTGAATGCAGATCATTAACGTATTCGAAACTCTTTTGGATCACGCAGCATAGCTGATAGCAGATTGGCCTCGTGATCAAAAGGTACCTATTGCGAACACATGTTCGCGTTTACTCGCCGTGCTTATCTCTTCGATAGCTTCTTTACCGAAACACAATTGACACGATAAGCGTTGAACGTTTAATTAATTATCGCGGAGCTATGTATTCTTGCGTGCGAACAAAAGGTAAATGAGTCTTTTCAAAAGATTTTCCTTTTGTAATTATTCGCAATCGATTAATCGAAACGAATAAATTTAATTTACATGAAATTCGTTTTATAATATAATTGATAATTGACAATCGGCGTTGTTTAATTCAATCAACTTATACGATATTTTATCGTATCGATTTATAAACAATTTTATATTCGTTTTAAATGTTATTAATTAATCCTTTCAATTGACATTAATCTTCATTAAGTATGATTATTTAAAAATGTTAATAAAGTGAATAAGGACTGGTCAAATAATCAAGAGTGTTAAATTGTTGTCACTGATACGGTGAATTCATTTTATTGCCATTGAATGCTTCCAAGGAATAAACAAAAGAAAGAAAGAGAAAGAGAGAGAAAGACAGAGAGAGAGAGAGAGAGAGAGAGAGAGAAAATAAGCCGTAAAAACAAGTCAACTGTAATAGAAGCTTAGGTAAAGCGAAAGCTCACGATGCTTTTTAGATCCTTATCTTTCTGTCTTATCTATCTTATCACAACATTAAATTCTCTGGGTTCTTATGAAACTTTAAACTTCTTTACGATTAGAACTAGATACCTACGTTTCTTACTTTACTATAATCAGATTTTAGATTTTACACGAAAGAAATAAATATCTTTAGTTATACTAGATTAGCGAAATGTTTAGATAGGGGATAAGACTAAAATCGATTTCGAAAGAAAAAGGTGGACTACAAGCATTCCTTAATCTCATGTTAAATTCACGGAGGTCATCCTCTTGATGCTAGTTTCTCGAGTCAGGAAAAACCTTCTTTGGATTCCAAAGAAGATTTTTCGAATCAGGGCGACGAAGTCACGCTTTCCGATCGGATAATCGCGTCCCGTTCTTTCTCTCTCTCTCTCTCTCTCTCTCTCTCTCTCTCTCTCTCTCCCTCTGTCTCTACCCTAAAAATTCCTTAAAGAAAGTGCAATCGTTCGCGAGTAAAGAGAAAGGGAAAGAGAAAGAGAGAAAATGAGGGACAGACAAAGAGATAGAGACAGAGAGAGAGAGAGAAAGAGAGAGAAAGAGAGAGAGAGAGAGAGAGAAAGAGAGAAATGAAATCTTCGTGTCGTGGTTGGAGGACAAGACGTCCCAGAGATTGCTACAAACCGAATAATTCAGAACGAGATTCTCACCGTATACTTCTGTATCTATCCTTTAAGAAAAGATCTTTCGTGATATCAAAAGAATCTTTGAAATGAAGTCTCGATTTATTGTTCTTAGGTAAGTTGCTTTAAAAGCACGTTGACAAAAATACGAAATTTTCTTTTCTGTTATACACTTAAAGAACAATACTTGACCATTCGAAGTTAGGTACTTCGAAATACCGTACTCCGTTCTTTATATTATAAATTATGAATTAATAAAGACTGTACAAAATTATTCATTAGAGTAATAATAAATTATGAATTAGTATCGATTATACAATACAATATTGATGATACTTATTAGTAATGTATTTATTTTTAGTAATAATTCTCTCTCTCTCTCTCTCTCTCTCTCTCTCTCTTTCTCTCTTTTCTTTCTCTCTTTCTAAATATTTCATATTAATTGTTGTTCTATGATTTAAAATAATTTTTTATTTCACGAAATACAAATCAATTAAAGATTAAAAATATACAAAGTAATTCCCTTTGGGATTAATTTTACTTTTGGATTAAACGTGTAAAGTAAGTGAAAACTTTAGAAACGTCTACGCGGACGACCAGAATTAGGTAACTAGCAAACTTACAATTAGACAATTCTATTCAAGTTCGAACTTATACCGTTAGCGGTGCCATTTCAATGAAAAGATTTCCATCGATTTGGTATTTCCACTGTGAATTCATCCTACGATGAAATTCTCATTCAATTGGACTTAGTAGATATCAAGATTTTCAAACAGTTTTTCAGATAATGATCGATAAGTTTCGAAAAATGATCCAACATTTTCACGGATACGTTCGTTCGTTCGTTCGTTCGTTCATTCATTCTCATGTTTAATGAACGATATTAGACGGTACGATCTCTCGAAAAACTTTTATTCGTAATCCATAAAGTCCACTCTTAATGGCTCAAGGATCCACCCAGATTGAGATCCTTCAAACTTTCATCGCGATGCTTTAATAAGAAATATTCTCAACGCTGTTTTTTAATTATTTTCTTCGATTCCATTCCGGAGGATTGGTGGTGGGACTTTTGCGTTACGATAAAATCGAACGGTACTAGATAAGTATTAAAAAAAAAGGAAAAAAATAAAAAAAAAAAGTAAATAAATAAAAAGAAAAGAAGAAGAAGAAGAAGAAGAAGAGGAAAGAGAGAGAGAGAGAGAGAGAGAGAGAGAGAGGGAGGGAGGGTGAGAGGGAGGGAGGGAAGGAGATAAAGAAAGAAAATAAAACAAAAAGGGATCTTCCGTAGGACGAAAACGACGCTTCTTCTCTGCTGAGGGTGAATTCTCAAGAGAGTACGAAAGAAGGCTTCCTCGTTCCTAATTAATTCCATCACTGCTCCTTACCTTTCCTTTTCTACCTTCCTCCCTCTTTCTCTCTCTCTCCCTCTTTCTCTCTCTCTCTTTCTCTTTCTCTCTCTTACTGACTCACTCACTCATTCACTCTCTCTTCTTCTCTCTCTCTCTCTCTCTCATCCTTTCTGGATCTACCCTACTTTCTCTTCCTCCTTTCAAGATTGTGAACAAGTTCGTTTCCTGTAGAGAAGTGAGAGACAATAGTAGAAAGGACTGGTTTTTTCTCGTAAAATCGGTGGTAACCACGAAAATGCATGTCCGTCCAAGCGAGGGCGTTGAGATAACTCTGGAAAGTGCTCGCCAACACCTACAGGGAAAGAGAGAAAGAGAGAAAGAAAAGGACAGGAAAAGCCTCGACGTTTCTTTCGAAAGGGAAAAAAAAAGAAAGGAAAAGAAAAGCGAAAGAGACAGAGACAGAAAGAGAGAGAGAGAGAGAGAGAGGGAGAAAAGAAAAGGAAAAAAAAAGGGTACGAGATAAAGATACGACGGAGGGGACGCGGGCGTAAAAAATAAGGGTGGCATGGAGAAGATAAAGAAAAAGTATCGACTTAAAGAGACTAGTAACGGGATGGGAAGAGGACTGAAAGGAATGAAAGAGATAGAAAGAGAAAGAAGGAGGATATATGCTGAAGAGAAACGGAATGAAATTTGCATCGCAAAATCGTTCTGTTTACATCTCCTTTCTTCTTTTCCTCTCTCTCTCTCTCTCTTTCTCTCTCTCTCTTTCTTTCTCTTTCTCTTTTCATGCAGGGTAATGATAGTACTTTGGCATGTGGGATGAAGAAAAGAAAGAGAAGAACCTTCGTTTATCGAACAGGAGTCCGCTTTTCAACTCTCTCTCTCTCTCTCTCTTTTTCTTTTTTTTTTTTACTCCTCTCTTTTTTTTCTCTTTCTTCCTCTTTTGTGTCTCGTAGGCTTGTTTGTTCTGCACGGGTTATCGAGTGCATACAAAAGGTTCGACGAAGTCGCATCTCGTCTAGCGTTCCTAGAAAGATCCCTCTTCCCTTTCCACCATCACAATTCAGTTGAATGGTAGGTACGTTCGATCCAGCAAACGGGTAGCCCCGATTTTTCTATAACACTGTAACTCCTTGTTATCAAATCCATGAACGGGATAAAAGATAAAGTAGATCAATTTCAACCGGTATAATAACGTGACCTTTGGTAAAGTGCATATATTAATCCTTTTTTAACGGAGGTTAAAGATCTTTATATATATAAACTTTCTAAAGAATTTAATTACGTTGAATATCCAAAGAAAAACGTGTGTTATCAAATGAGAGAAATTTTAATATCTAACCCTCTCTCTCTCTCTCTCTCTCTCTCTCTCTCTCTCTCTCGCTCCCTCCCTCCCTCTTCCTACCCCCAAAAACCTAAAACTAAACTTCCCATGATAATATCCTACCGTCTAACATTTTAAATTACTTTTGTAATATCTTTAAAATCTACTATGTACCATAGTTTCTCGATAATCATTTCTAGTCCTACTTGATGCACGTTGCCAGTGTCCTACTTTTCAAAGTACAGAAACCAACCCTCTCAGTTCTCTCTCCTTCGTCTATGGTGGTAGGGAGGTGAATGACACTCGCGTCTTTCTACCTGCGTAGTTACGTACATTCGAGGAAACTTTCAATGTGGGTCGACGCGGTCGGAATATCTTGCAGTTTCCAAGCTAAGTCCGGACTCGCGAGATACGAGGGATTGCTTCAGTGGATGGTGTGTAGGAAGGACGATGATCGTGAGCGTGTCTACGTATCTGCTTTATATAAACGCGTTCTATGTAGCTGTATATATCTGTGACTACGTGTGAGGCGAGTATAAATGGGCCGGGAAAGGAGGATCTAACGGGCGTTGCTGCGACCTCGCATTCATCGAATAAAATAGTTTTCACCCTCTTGCCAAGGTGTAGACATATATCCTATCTGTTAGAATGAACAAATGGAAAAGGGATATACCGACAAAAATATATATCGTTTCATCGATAGTAATGATATTTGAGAGTCATCTTAGATAGAATAGGTTCTTGAACCTTATGATAAATAAAAAACAAATATATATATACATATATATATATATATGTGTGTATGTGTGTGTAAAATACAGTCGAATTTTGAACTATCAAATGAAATGATATCGATCTGCTCTCTTTGTTGAAGACTTCGTTCTAATAATAATATATTGAATATTTGATAACATCTACTATTTATTTTCTGCACAGGCTATCGACGGAAAATCAGCAGTTCGCGGTTACAAATATGCCAGGGACATGCTCGATGACCGAACCAATTCAGGATCGGCAATAGTTAGTGATGAGGAACGTCTCGTTGGTGGTGCGTCCAGGTCGATGACCCAGGTCGTCGGTGACATGTCGGTGTTTGCTATAGTTTTGGATTTAGCTTCGCTTCGAAGATTACTCATTGCCATCTTTATCCTGTTATCGTTACCTTGTTATCGATGCTTGGATCTAGGTAAGTTTTATCAAATTTTACAATCCAATATTTTTTTCTTTCTTATATATACAAAACAAAAAATCCTTATTATCTTTTTTTAAATATTACGCTTAAGAGAAATGGATAATATAATAATTTTTTTATTTTTGCATGTTTTCGTTTCTTCTTTTTTTTTCTTTTCTTTTTCTTTTTTTGTTTTTTTTTTTGCATCAAAATCACGTTGCATATACATAACGAAGGAACAATGAATTGAGAAACGTACATAGGAATGTACACACGTACTCGTGGAATAAGTATGCCATGCATCGTCCCTGGGGTACTTTCCGTTTGTAGGAAGGTACATATACTCGTACAAGGGAATACAATTCATTCCTTGGAATTTCCTTTGGTTTCTTAAGCACACGTTTACGTGTGATAGTATTCAATGAGGTTAGTAGATCGATATAGAAGATCCATTGTTCAGAGCTATTGTACAAATTATAATGTACGATTAATATTTCTATTATTATCAGATATTATCAATACTAATAAAGAATTTATATTTGATTGTTTTGGATTATACCATTTTCATTATCATTTATAATATTGAAATATTAAAGAGTTATTGAATACTAATAGAATACTAGCAACTTTCAATTAAAACAACATATTGGTTATGATAATTTAATGAGATAAAATGTTTTGTTTCATTATTACTTGGATGTTCATCAAAAGTAAAAAACAAATCCAGTCACGTCTATTTTACGATCGATTTACAATTATACATAGTTATCCCTTTTTCCATCCTCAAAAGCAAAGTGAACGCTTCTCATAAAACGGACGCACGAGTCTCTCACGCATCTGCCAGCTTGGAGAGCTATTGTACCCACGCAAATGAAATGTCAGCCGCACGATGAATTAACAATACTATCTAATAGCTGCTCAGACGCAGACGAACGGCCGAGTGTCATTGTACTAAATCGTTCTTGCATGGCACTGCCTATGCGGCTGAGCTCTTTCCTCCTTGTTATTATTCTTTCTTTTTGTTTTGTTTTCTTTATTTGTTACATTTAATTTTTGTTTCTTTCCCCCTCTTTCTTTCTCTGTCTCTGTCTCTGTCTCTGTTTCCCTCTCTCTCTCTCTCTCTCTCACTCTCTTTCTCCCTTTTCTTTCTTTTTCTCATTAACGTGAATCAATTAATGGCCATAGTTAAAATATCAATTTTGTTCGATATGAAACCAAAAAAAAAAAAAAAAAAAAAAGAATCTTATTAATTTATATCGCATAATCCTATTGAATTTCTATCGTATTATAAATTCTCATATGTTCCAGTTAGAATGTATTAATATATTACATCTCGTTCCTTGATTTACGCAATACATTTTGCAAACGATAAATTATCATTACCGTTTACGCGCCTACTTTTATATACGTTTACTCTGTTTATTATGATTCAATTTTACACGATCAGAAAATATTCTATACGTACCATTATAATATTTATTGAATTTATTGCTTTGTGCGATAACAACGTAGTGAATTTTGTTCTCCCTTACTTTTTCTCGTATACCGATAGACTTCATTTAAACGTGACTTTTGTCCGCGACGAAAAAGAAAAAGAAAAAAAGGAAACAAAAAATAAAAAAAAAAAAAAAGGTAAACAAAGAGAAAAGAAAATGCAAAACAAAAAGGAACGAAATTGAATGAAACATGAACACGTTTTCGCCAAAGTCAAAGAATATAGTGTCACAATGGAACGTAATGGGTATTAATGAAATCGACTTAATTCAAAATCGATAATATCCCAAGAGAGAGTCAAAAGAATTCAATCTTCTAGCTTTAGTATTTTCCAAGGTAACACAACAATCCATCGTCGTAGAACGGCAAAAGCGTTCTAAAATATCATACCGGTCCACCGCCTATCGATCTCGTTCAATGACGTGGAGCACACGTATACATACGACTTCCGTGTGATGGCAACATATCGATCGTGTCGCGATTCGTTCGGACCATTTGTTATGCACGCGACGTGTTAAAACGCGTTGCGTCTAGAACGTCGCGACACGTCAAAGTGACTTATTGCCTTGGGACATGAGACCAGCCGCGTGGCTTCGTAATGGTTATCAATCCGTACCACGAACTGAACTTTCTTCGTTTATACACGATATACAGGTTGTAACTATTCGAGACATACTATATCAAAGATTATGTACAATCTTTGATTCTATCATCCAACGGATTCGAGTTTCTATTCCATCATCCAAAAATCACACGTTGAATTATACGAGAAATTTCGAGAGTTTCTCAGGATTATTCTAAGCTCTATACGAATACATAAGCTTAGAGAGAATAACTAGTGAGACTAGTTGAGTAGTATGTTATAAGTACTTCTATTTGTAGAGAAACTTCAATATTCGTTGGAGTTTAACGAAAGGCTTGCATATCACAACAGCTAGTTTAGTCACTCAAGACACAATGGGGCTTCAGGAACGATTTCTGATCTAGCTCTGGATACCCACAACATTGAAGTTACTTTTGTTGTAATCAGGCTGGAACGTAATGGAAACATTGCTGCAAGTCGTATGGATCGACTGGAATACATGGAGAAATCTCCATGCATCTATGGTATATCCAAGTACATTCTGGGGTTTAGGTGAAACGTAAAGCATTGTTAGAAATACTCTCGAAGTTATATTCCGATGGCGTAATATGGGAAACGATATGAGAGGAGATAGTGTGAGGGGTAGAAAAGAGAATGAGGAGAGTGTGCGAAGGTAAACCAGTAGGATAGGTCGCGCGAAGAGCCGTCCGGCTAATCCCACGTCCGCTGCATTCTGCAATTTTGAAACTTTGCCACGTAACTGCAGAACCGTAGCTTAAGTGCAACGGCGTATCGCAACTTGTTGTTACTACCCCTCCATTCTTTATCTTTCACTCTCTCTCGTTCTCTCTCTCTCTCTCTCTCTCTCTCTCTCGCTCGTTCGAGTTGTACATGACTTCCCTGCAAACTCGACGATTTATCATGGACTTCGCCTACCTGTGTGTTACCAACGTTTTCATCGTTACACCCTTGTCCTACTGTCCTCTTGTGCTATCCTCTCTAACGTTAGCTCATACAGAATAGAACAAAGCTAGGCGCGATAATATTATCTATAATTCAAATTCGTTATCTCCCTTGAATTTGATTACGATCATGAAACTGGTACGAATTCTCGAAAAGCATTAACTTAATTAATTTCCATAGTTATACTCTTGTCTTGATTTATTTGTATCATAGAACCAACACAACAAACGGTTAGAAGTTAACGACGTATACAGATTGACATTGATCTCTGGTTTAATGTAGCCCCTCCAATTGTTTCAGGACAATGCGCCAACGCTCTGGGCATGGAGAGCGGTGAAATCCCCAATGAAGACATCACGGCCAGCTCCATGTATGATCCTAGTCTTGGGCCGAAGCATGCGAGGTAAGGGAGAACAATGATATCGCACAGGTATAATCCAATGTTTGTGTTGGATGCCAAGTACCGTGGTCATTTTGTCATATACTCATATAGAAACAAATTCCACTCTCTCTCTCTCTCTCTCTCTCTCTCTCTCTCTATTTCTCTCTCTATCTCTTTCTATCTCTATCTCTTTCTTTCTCTTTATCTCCTATCTTTTTTTGTTATCAACGAACGTTAATAAAGGCGTGTTTTTGCTTGCCTAATAATTGTTTCCATCTGAATTCGTATCGGTACTGGAATATCTTTTGCTTAAATTCAAAAATTCATGATACGCGTACTGGGATATTCACGGTACCGCTATCCCCTTTTATTGCTTTATAACCTTTAAAGCCGTTCCGTCCGATAAATAAATCCTCTCTATTTTATTACTTCTTTTCATTCTGTCTCTTTATCCCTATCATAAATAATTCGTCACACGGGAAAAACAAAGTTGAAGCGATTTTTGCAAACCGCAAAAATCAAAAGCTACGAATGACATTGATAGGTCTAAGTGAGACAATTCGTTTGCGGTTCACGTACGATACGCAATTGTCATTGGTTTTTAATAAATGAAAATTAATCATTTTATAATGAATTAACGTTAACGTTTAACCAATCATCAATCTAAATCTAAATCTAAAAATTTATATCCAAAATGCGATATCCATTTTATAATTGGAGTTGTCGATCGAGGTCAATTGAAAAAAAATTCTGGATATATAGATATAAATCTTTTGTTTGTGGTTGTATCGAATGACCATATTTTCATTAACGAGAAGGACTATAAATTAGGAAGCGTATGTGCCACCTATAGCAGGTGCATTCAATTAGATAGCCTTTGCTGGAGTTACATATCGTGAGGATGGGTTACCGGAGCCGTAGGCAAACGGGTACAGGAGGCAGCCACAACGCGGCACGGATCCGAGCGAGAGAGTGAGAGAGAGAGAGAGAGAGAGAGAGAGGGAGAGGGAGATAGAAGAAGAAGAGAGAGAGAGAGAGAGAAAGCACACGTAATAGAAGATAGGGTGAGGATACGCGTTCGTGTATAGACGTGTTTGTGTGTACGTGTGTACTCGGGAGAGAGAGAGAGAGAGGAGAGAGAGAGAAAGGAATACGAAGCATAGACAGAGGGGTGAGCGGAAGGTGGAACGAGCTCGACTCCTACAAATTACCTCCAATTTCGTGTAAATTCCTGGTGCCTGCGTCAGCGTAATACCTGTATTAGGACGCCCAGCTCCGGCTCTTAGACGGCAATAAATCTGTATTAGGGCGAGTCGCAGCTCCTATTCGCAAAACGGGCTACCTGGTACGACGTGACTGGTTAATTTTTCAAAGATACGATTTGTCCGATACTACTACCCTCGAATACCCCTTTCGACTTACCATCGTGTTATATATCTTTCTCCGAAACGAAACCTTATTCTCCTTGTTGTCCTTGATTATGAAAAAAGGGCAAAAGATTCGATCAATAAAAATGATTAAGGCCGCTAACGGGCATTGCCTGTATTTGACACCATAAACGGTTTTCCTTTTTTCCGTAACTATAGCGATCGGCAATGGACTACTGTAAAAAGTCTCTGTGTCAATGTATAAGAGAGAAGAGAGAAAGAGAAAGAGGGGAAATATGAGAAAGATATATAACCAGAGAGAGAGAGAGAGAGAGAGAGAGAGAGAGAGAGAGAGAGAGAGAGTGAGCCAGAGAGAACATCGAAGAAAAGAAGATAAGAAAACTTTAGAGCGGTAGTCGGAGGATTGGAGGGGTTAGGGGGAAGAAAAAAGGAAAAAAGAAGAAAGAGAGAAAAAGAAAAGAAAAGAAATAGATCTGTACAAGGCACGAGGGAGAAAAAAACGCGTGAAGCTATAACAAGGGAAGGAAGGTAGAAAAAAGAGAATGAAAGAGAGAGAGAGAGAGTGAGAGAGAGAGAGGGATACAGGAAGTAGTAGCGTGACTAGTGGTGAAAGTGAGAGGCAAATGAAAGAGGAAGAATACTGGTGAGTATCGGACAAACATAAAGCGTTTTATAAACGTAACGTACGTCGTCGGTTTTAAAAGTGTTGAAAATACGTGAAAAAGAAAAATGAACAAGCATATTTTCCTTTTTCTCGCCCTCGTATTCGATCTAACCGTCTTATTTTTTCTATTTCTTTTTTCTTTTTCTTTCTTCTTTTTTTTCTTCTTCTTCCTTTTTTTTCTTTTTTTTTTTTTTTACGATTTCCAAATTTCCCTTTCGTTCGTTCCGATGATATATGAAAAAGGATAATAACCTATCTGTACATTATTTTCTTTCTCTTTTCAACTTGCCAAGGAGTTAAATAAAAAATAATACTGAACTACTTGGTCAGAGAAATATATGTATGTATATGAATATGTTACATGAATTTGATAACAGGTGAAAAATAAATATGTCAGTTTTTATTAACCATTAAGGGGAGAGACATCAGAAAGAAAATGATCGCGTTTTAACTAAGAGATTTCGTAAATGTTTTGACAAATTTTCCCTAGAACAACGTCAACCCGTATCGTACGATTTACTGAAGTTTCATAAAAAAGAAAAAAAAAAAAAAGAAAAAAAAAAGAAAAGAGCAAAAAAAAAAAGGTGGGAAAAAGAAGAAACGAAAAAGAAAGAAACAAATCGTTAATAAAATAAAATGGTTTATTCTAAAGCTGAAATATATTTTTAAAAAGGAGCACTATAGAGAGAGAGAGAGGAGAGAGAGAGAGAGAGAAAGAGAGAGAAGTTATATACCTATCTACCTTCAATATCAGTTCTTTCAGTCTCTTTGTTGGTGTATCTATCGGCACCACACAGCAGTGGCTATCGATCTCCTATATTTCTCCCTTCATAACATCACGAGCAGCGACGTTTATCTTGGACGTTCTACACAGTTCACCCTCCTCAATCCCCTTCCCCCTCCCCTTCGCTTTTTTCTACAGGCACACTGAATTCACGTACATTTCATTGACATAGCACGCGCCGCTTTGTAACCGTAGGAGAGCCCACTTTACATAGAATGTTTCACTTGAAGAGAGAGAGAGAGAGAGAGAGAGAGAGAGAGATGGAAAGAAAAAAGGGGTTGGGGAGTTACCCCCGTTGCGATAAGAGGCTGGCCGCGCATTTTGCCTTCGTTAAATTAACATAGGAGGAGTAGTTAAGGTGTAACTAGGTCAGTACTTGACTACCGAGCGTCGTATTTATACTTATATCGCGTCTAGTCAAACTAACTCTCTCTCTCTCTCTCTCTCTTTCTCTCTTTTTCTCTCTCTCTATCTTTCTCTCTCTCTCTCACTATTTTTCTCCTTTTTATTTCCAAGGACACGATATTTTACCATAAAGTTATCTTTTATTTACGTTTTTCTTCCCTTTTTTTTCTTTTACTCAGTTCTTTAATTACTTTTTTTTTATCTTTTTCTTTTCTTATTTATTTATTTTCTTTTTTTTTTTTTTATTTTTTTATTTTTTTTTTTTTCTCAATCGACACACGATCGCACGAATGCTAACGACCGTGATAGAAAGTGCGAAGCACAAACAGCGTTACTAAATGCCCGTGTAAACGATCGATTGACTTTCACTATGCGAATGCATTTACGAACTTAGTCCAATTTCAATTCGACTCGACTGATTGAATTCAACGTGCAAAGGCAGGAATTGATCTAACTCGGCCATCGCTATTAGTTTCTAACATGGAACGCAACCGCATTTTAGTGTTTCAAATTAAATAAAATTATCGTGCGAATGAAAACCGATACGATAATATTTATTAATACGATATACTTTACGATCGAATATTCTTTTTTTTTTATTTTCTTAGAGATCACATTACTATTATTATTATTATTATTATTATTATTATTATTATTATTTTTATTTTTATTATTATTATTATTATTATTATTATTATTATCATTGTAAATATGTTGAATCAAAATATGAAATCTTTTCGAAAACTGACGGATGTACAAACAGTCAAGTATCACGTCACCCTCATTGTCACGGGATTTACTTTGACGATAGAAAAAGAAAGAAAATAACGGGAGCTTTAAAATGACGTTTCCATTTTACGATCTGTAACATGTCTCGGATCGATCGGACTTTTCTTTCAAGTTTTGAAATTGAAAGTCAAGCGAAACTCATTCGACGGAAAAAGGAAGAGAGACAGAGGAAAACGAGAGGTGGTGAAAATATTTCGTCGAAATTTCAAATGGAAGAAACGTGAAGCTTATATCGCCCACGGGGCTACTGAGTTTACGATCGGTTGGTACATAAAATTCATCGAAAATACACCGCCCATGTATTTCAACCCTTATCTAAGTCCCCTGTCATCGATTGAGAACTGACCATTATTGGGTATCAATACGTTTCTATAAATTATGTCTCAAATTTATATAGTTCTTCAAATTTCTTCTTTCTTACGTTGCATATGTCGCAGAATTTATCGTTAAAACGAAAAAAAGTTCGGATATATATGCATATATATATATATACGTTTATAATTCAATATACATATATATATATTTTATAATTAAATTTTAATAATAACCATTAAATTATTGATCTAGTTTGATTAAACGCAAAAAGATACTCAGTAACAGGATAGTCTTCCTAAAGTTAAAATTTCATTTTATTATAAGAAGAATATCCTTTAGAAATTTGCCTGTTAAAATGTTTAAATTACGTTAAGCAAAGAAGCGTTCCTTGTCAACTCACAACTCATACAGCTTAACGAAAAGAGTATGGAAGGAGTCTAACTATCGCAAGATTGAGTTTCCTTTTACGAGTAACAAAGAAGTGAAAAGGTTTTTTTTGCAGGTTAATCATTTAATTTCTTTTTCTTTTTTTCTTTTCTTTTTTTTTCTCTTCTTATCTTTTTCTTCCTTTACTATTTCTTCTTCTTCTCCTTCTTCTTCTTCTTCTTCTCCTTCTCCTTCTCCTTCTTCTTTTCTTCGGTAGCATAGGAGACTTTTGCTTTATCGTCCCCAACGA